AATTATCAAGGCTTTATAGACTTCACAAATCTCCTTTGTAACATGTATAAATTATCCAGGGAGAGCTGAATAGGGGAACATGCCTTTTTAAAGGCGAATTCGTTCTGCATTTAGATTCTGTGTTTTGCAGCATTTATTCTTCATATATTAGTATTAGCATTAATCAATCTTCTTCCTGTATAGGTTTATTTCACCAAAAAATTTCAGAATTCCATGGAGAAGATTAAAGACACTGACATCCGTCAAGAAGTGGTTTCCTTATTAACAAAGCTCTCTGACGGTTGGCGCCAATCTTGCAAGGATAAAGGAGTTATAGTTCATGGGGGTACTTGTGGTCAGCTGTTAGAGAAGTATAAAGTGAAAGGGCAGCTGAATCTCATTTGGTCTGTAGATGTTCTCGAGGAGAACTCAGATTACGTCCAGGTTATGAAGATTTGGGATGTTCTTCCAGTTTCTGATACTACCGAATTTGCGGAGCGGCTTCAGATCATTTTTCGTAGTTATACAGCTGATAAGATGAACCTCTGCCTGCTCAGATGTGTTGAGGGGTACGTATGCACTCACTTTTAATTTTTCTTGTGAATTTATTCATTGTGTACATATAGAAATTTAGCAAAAGTTAAAGTTGTACAGAATAGAACAGTACATTTGTGCTGATTAAAAGGTTTCTATAGACATGGCTTGAATCATCCATCCATTGTTTCTCAATTGGTATAGAGACAAAGTTGTTCCAATGAGATCCCCGGTAGATTCGAGCAGTTCCCGTGCGGCTGATCCTGTGGAGATTCTTTCAAAACCGTTATCTTCACTCAGTCTAACAGATGAGCCAAACATCAAGTAGTGGGTGAGTGTTCACTCTGTACATCTTCCATATGACTACATGTTTTGTTAAAAACTAGGTGGTATGTTAGGCTCAAGATTTTCACTCTTTTTCTAAATACAAGATATGTAAATGAACACAATTCTCTAATTTGGGCTCATTGATTGTTGCAATTAAGTACTGATTCTTTCATATAAATAATTATCAGAAAGAGTATCATGTCCACAAGGTGAAGAAAG